GCTTTGCCATTATGGTGTATGGAGTGTAGATTTATGTGGAAAAAAGTAATATAAGCAGTTTAACACAAGGCTGCAACATAACAAAACGTGGAAAAAAAATGAAAGGGTATGAATACTTTCGCAAGGCACTGTACATATCTGGCTGTAAAATCGATCTTTTTTCATTAGTAGCCATGTGTTCTTTTTTAATTAAATTAATTTTTTTATTTTATTTTATTTTTATATTTTATTTTATTATTTTATTATATTATTATTTTATTTTTATTTTATTTTCCACAATGCTATATGGAGGGGAAAAATTTAATTGATATTTCACAGTTTTATTCTTGCATTGCAGCATTTCCAAATAGAGATAATAAAGGAGAAAAGCTCCATTTTATAGACTTGCAAAATGTTTATTCCCCTTTAGCCATTGGCAAGTGTTATTTTTGGACTCTGCCCTTGTTCGTGTGCTTCAGTTGTTGGACCCAGAAAGCTGCACAGCCACAAAAGCCTGCAATGAAGGAGATGTAATTTAAAAAAAGGAACCAGTCCCATTTTCCCTGTCGAATTCTACAATCTTACATTTATTAGGGGTGAGATTGGATAGATCGATTGATAGAGATAGACAGACCACACTCCATAAGGCACTGTCATTTCTGCAGCAAAAGTAATAAGACCTGCGTTCCTGTCGGAACATTTGGGAAGCCAGGCTGTCTTTATAAAGGCATAGCTGTGATATATGTGAGCTGGGAACAATAAGGAGCTGATTGGCCACTTGCTCTCCCTCCTCATTTATTTGTTTATGTAATGATGCATAATGTGCTCTGTCATATGTTTGTGCGTTGCTCTGATACCCAGTGAATATCAAAGGCAATTTAGGCTTGGCGTACTGGGGTTTTAACACTCTGGCAGTGATGCATTCTTCAGGATGTAGCAGCCATGTGTTTTGTCATGTTGTTTTTCCACCTTCCCTTATGTTTTTTTAGGCAATTAGTCTCCAACAAGCAGTGAGGTAGTTGAAAACGGCTGTCTGTGGGAAGTGTGACGTCAGCATCTACATTACTCACAAGTCAGGTTAAATGGTTCTTGAAATTTGGCCAGAAGTGTGAGAATGAAGGGCTGTAATTTACAAACATCTGCTTAGCATCATGAGCTGGGATTAATTGCTAATGCTTTTATTACGGTATACGGTATTATCACGATATTGAAATTAAGTTTTTAAAAAGTGCTGTCATAATACAGTATAACAGGTTTAATAACTTTTTTCTTATAACAAAAATAACTGAACATTTAAATGCAATAAAGCAATACAGAAAAATGTATAAAGTTAAAAGTTTTACACAGATTAAAGTGCAAAAGAACTATACAGACCCCAATAGGTATCACTTTACAATAAGACCTCATTAGTTAACCTTAGTTAATGCATTAACATTCACAATGAGCAATATCTACATTTGCTACAGAAGTTATTAATCTTTGTTAAAACAATACAAGTCTTTGTTCATGTTAGCTCATTAAATAACAGCTGCAACTCTGGATTTTAACAACGTGTTATTAAATATTGGAATACCTAAGATTAATGAATGTTCAGAATTTTTCATTGGCAGTTTATGTTAGCTAATGAATTAACTAATGTTAACTAATGAAGCCCTAATGTAAAGTGTGACCGAACAATAAAGAATCAAAACACTTTCAAACAATATCTAGGGCATGTTGTAGTCCAGATTAAAATGTAAAAGAAGTTTGAAAATAAATAGCCTAATAAGTCTAAATATTTAAGTATTTGGCGCTGTGATGAACATCATAAATCCGCTGTGCGCGATACAGAGAACGCGACCATGTAACGTAGAGACAGAAATGACATGCCGTCGTGTAAATAAGATAAATAACATAAGGCTATTTAGTTTGTTTGATAAAAGAACAAGGTATAGACCTGTTCTATAGGAAAGGTAACTTTAAATGACTTCTTTTGTGATCTGGCGCTATAGAGAAAATAAAATAAAATAAAATTAACTTGACCTTCTAAGGGGGCGGGGGGTACCTTTGGGGGGGCAGGCCGCCCCCCTAATACAATGGCAGGGGAAACACTGATATATATATATATATATATATATGTATATGCATGTATGTATATATACTGTATATACAGTATATATAACATGATTTTAAATTGTAATATTATTTTGCTTTAATATTATTTTTACAGTAGTTTTGATCAAATAAATGGTGCTTTGGTGAGCATAGACTTCTTTCAAAAATATTTAAAAATGATACAGACACCACATTTTTGGACGGTAGTTTTTGTGTATTTATATTTCTTTTTTATTGTAATGACAGAGTAAAATTGAGGTGAAAAGTGAGTGCTTTATAATGTTCTTTTGACTTCAGCAGCTCTGAATATCTGAAGGTCTGAGAACAAGGTCTTCAGTATTCAGTGGCTTATTTTTCTTGTTTGCAGCCATAAAATCATCTTTGTTCACTATCACTAGACAGAACTGCAGTATGTTGTTGTGTTGGGTATCTCTGTGATGCAGTGCTGTGCTTTAGAGCATGTAATGTGTGGTGTTAATCTCTGATGCTGTCATTAGTGGTGCTTTAGGGAGGCTGTGAGATGTTAGATGTGACAGTTGTTTCTCTCTCTGTTTCTCGCTCTTTCCTGTGATCTGTATATTGCTGTTTTCTTATATAAGAATCACATGCTACACAGCATCTGTGCACAAGGGCGTGTTAACAGTGTGTATATATACTGTATGTTTTCTTGGCACATCTGTCTGCATATGTATTGTGTGCATGCACGTTAATGCATTTACTAGCAGGAAAGCCTGTAGAATATAAAGAGAGTCTTTGGTTTCCTCTCCTTGTTGATTAACTGACCATGAGCACAGCTAATTACTGAATTAAAGAGCGTGTAATGAGCCGAGAGTGTGTCCGATCTGGCAGCCTGGGAATAACACATGTCAGAGAGATCAAGTAACCTGGACAGACACGTACATCTCAAAACAGACAGATGTCTCTGTCAGTAAAAAGGTTTAGTTTACATAGAGTATGGAGTACACTGCTGCTTTCACTCCTGATGAGTAAAATATCTCTGCACTGATATTAATATTCTGGCTAATATAAATAAACTACATTTAAAAAAACAAAACAGTTATTTAAATGCTACAAGTGAGTTTAGGCATCACAACATTATAATGTACAGTATAAAATTGTCATTTTATGTTGTTATTAACTTCTCAGTGTTTTTAGAGATTGTGTGTTGTTAGATGATGGCAAAGCAAAGGTAATCTGTTCAAAACTTTTGTTTAAATATAAATATATAAAATATAAATACTTTTATTCAGCAAGGATGCATTAAATTGATAAAAAGTGACAGCAAAACATTTATAATGTTACAGAAAAATGTATTTAAAATATATAATTTGAACTTTCTGTTCATCAAAGAATCCTGAAAAAATATTTCACGGTTTCCATATATATATATATATACACTGACCAATTCAATTTCCAATATAAATATATTTTGTAACAATTTATATCCGGTAACTGTTATGGTACTGACATATATCATGCATCTTTACATCAGATATTACTAGATATATCTATATTGAATTACTAATAAGGTAAAGAGGTAATGTTTTATAAAGGTATTATAATGTTCTCTGTTTATCTAATAGAATGTGATATTATTTTTAACTTTATTTGTTTATTTGTTTATTTTATTTTATTTTATTTTACTTTGTTTGTGTGTGCTTTGCAGCATGTGATGAGTGGGCAGTTCTTCCAAATCCCAATCTTCATCGTGACGTCAATCGTTTTGGACACACAGCAGTTGTCAGTAATGGGTAAGTTCTTGATGTGGTCTCTTTCCATTTGTAGATACCATCAGTATATGCACTCTTCCTGTACCCTGGTTATTTTTTTCTACTGAAGTTTATTTAGTTAACAGCTCATCTTGCGTCAGAAAAAAATGTTCACTTGAATGTGTGGCCTAATCCTCTCATTTCCTTTGGAAAGATGTTTTGGCAAGACAAACGGTTTAAAATACTAACAGAAAAGGTCTGTGTTTTCTCTTCCCCTTCAGCTCAATGTACGTTTTTGGTGGTTTCGCTGGTGTGATCCTGAACGATGTACTGGTGTATAAACCTGCAAACTGTGAGGCCTTCATCGAGGTGGATCTTTGTCAGAGCTCTGGTCCTGGTGTTCGCTGTGTCTGGATAGAAGAACGCTGTGTACCCTGGGACTCCAGCCATGCTAATGACACTTTGCCTGCCTCCTTCTGCCCTGCACGCACCAGTAAGAACTTATCATTATAAAAGCTTATGTTAAAACACTGGCTACACAGAATTACTTTTATGGCCAATTATGGAGGTATTGTGACCTGTTTTAGAGGCATGTTTCATCATACATTCACACTGAATTTATTTCTAATTCGAAGGAGTCTGTGAAAGTGGGCCTTGTTTTACCCTGAAGGGGTTTATTTTGTGGTTGACTAAATTATTCCGCCTACTACAAGGCTATTTAACAAAAATAAATGAATAAATGGATATGAAATATTGATCTAAGGTGCTGGAAGATACTCTACCACTTAATGTTTTTAGAAATTAAGAAATTAATATTTTTACTTGCAAAGGCTGCGTTGAATTGATCAAAAGTGACAGTAGACATTTTTAATGTTACAAAATATTTCTATTTTAAATAAATGCTGTCTTTCTATTCATCAAAAAATACTGTGTATGCTTTCCACAAAAATATTTAGCAGCACAACTATTCATAACATTGATAATAATAAGAAGAACATTTTCTTGAGCAACTAATCAGCATATGAGGATCATGTGACACTGAAGACTGGAGTAATGGCTGCTGAAAATTCAGCTTTGCCATTGCAGAAATAAATTTTAAAATATGTTAAAATTTGAAAACTGTTGTTTTAAATTGTAAGAATATTTCAGAACATTACTGCCTTAAATGTTTAAATGTATTTTTGATCAAATAAATGCAGTCTCTGTGAGCATAAAAGACTTTAAAACATTTTCAAAATCTTACCAACGCCAAACTTTTGAACAGTAGTGTGTAATTTATGAAAAATCTCTGACCATTACAAATGTTTACACATCCTTTCAACTTGTGGGAATATCTATACACCTGGTTTACTATCCCACATCACCATCCCAGCGGAGTGAAGTTCACTGTACATCTCATTCAATTGTGTTAGACCGTTAGCTCTGTATGTCAAATGAAAACCTAAAGAGTATTTTTCCTTCCCATAAATCCTCTGTCAGGAGATTATTGTTAAGCCACATATAATCCTATTTACACTTGATACATTGGGAGGTTTATATGCAGAGCCTCTCGCATGTTCTGTTTTACCTTGATGGCGTACAGCCTGTTTTCCACTGGGTAAATCCTGCCTGACTGTGGAAATGCCTGTTGATAATTGACTGAAAAAAAGGTCAGTCAGCACATAATAATCTCATTGCGATGTAATTATGATAGCGATGAAACCAAACTCCAGCGATTGTGGATACAGATGTTTTTGTCTGTGGGCAAAACTGGACCAGAGAGGATTACTGAAATTACCGCATGGAGTTTGGAGTGCTATCAGAGGTGGATTGGGCTTTAATTAAGTAATGGAATGACACACAAGTTCATGATGGATTATTCTGTATTGTGTGTATCTCAGAGACCTGTAATCGTGCCGTTTATCATTGTACCCAGGCACTGTTTGGGTGGTTGCTCTCTTTATATACTGTACTTTACTATGCACTATGTTCCTTATATTTTTATGTATTGTGTGTACACACACACACACACACACACACACACACACACACGCACGCTACCATTCAAAAGTTTGAGGTTGTTGGGACTTTTTAATGTTTTTGAAAGAAGTATCTCACCATCCTCACTGCATTTATTTAATCAAAATAGCGCGAAACAATAACATTGTGAAATATTATTACAATTGAAAATAGCAGTTTTCTATTTAAACATATATTTAAAATGTAATTTATTCCTGTGATGTCAAAGCTGAATTTGCGAAGGTGTGTCTGAAAAGCGAGGTGTGCTCTGATTGGCCAGCTATCCAGTGTGCTGTGATTGGCCGAATACCTCAAGTGTGTGACGGAAATGTTACGCCCCTTATCATATTGTGTGTGATGCTGTGTCCTGGAGGGACGAGACAAAAACATTAAAACCCATTATAAACGAGGCATTCGTTGCATCCAGTGGGGACATAATTACGGATTATAATGACTTATACTGTCTTTTTACGTGTTGTGAAAACACACAGCATCTTCACAACATGGCAGCGGCAGTGGCAGCAACAATAAAGTTACGCCTACTTTCTTTGCATCTTGTAACATTTGGGCGGTGTTATGCAAATCTTCCCACACAGTGACGTAGACATGTGGGGGCGTGTTAGGAGGGCGTGGACTAGTCTTAACTTTTATAAAGAATATCTCTTTGGGTTTGAGACTTTAGTCTTTGCAACTTTAGGGATCTTATCTATTCACAAACAGCTTGTAACACTTCAAAGAGAAAGGAAAACTTGAAATTGCATCATATGACCCCTTTAAAAGTCTTAACTGTCACTTTAGATTAATGTAATGTTTCCTTAAAAAAATACTGACCCCAAACTTTAATCAATCAATCAATCAATCAATCTATCTATCTATCTATCTATCTATCTATCCATCTATCCATCCATCCATCCATCCATATTTATTTAAAAAAAAAAACATTCACATCAAAATAAATGTTGAATTAGCAGTTAAGTTGAGTAAACCGTTAAACGAGTGTGAAGAATCTTTGTTACTCCTATTTCTTTTCTCCCATCCTTCGTGTTCATTTTTGTCCTGGATTTTCTCGTTGTTTATTCTTTGAAACTGTTCCAGACAAAAGCCAGTTCCTGTGTGACCTCTTTTTCCCAGAAATAATGATGAAAACAAAACAACAAACAGAAAACATCCTCCCAAAAAGAAAAGAACAGGAACAACCGTACTTATGTGTATGATGGTTATTCATGGTCTGAAATAAACAAATTCACAGTCAGTACAAAAGTTTCTTCTCTGTCCTTGGCTCTTCCCCTCGATTCTGCAGTTTTAATTTTGCTGTGCCCTGTCCATGTCCACCTCCGCTGTTCAACTTTAGCCCTTACCCATGTGTCATTGCACACACTCATTTTTCACCTCAGTTGTGAAGTGTTTCACCTTGAGAGCTCTGAGCTCTGAGTCAGAACCTTGTTACCTCCAAACCTCCAATTTTGTTTTATGCTAATAAATGGATATTTTTCTTGTCTGATGATTCTTTGTTTTTTTTGACCATAGATTCAGCTGATAAGCAGTGTCAGCAGTTTTCAGACTGTGCTTCCTGTACGGCCAACACCAATGACTGCCAATGGTGCGAAGACAAGAAATGCATCTCTTCTTCAAGCAACTGCACCGTGGTATGTCCAAACAGAGACTCTGCTGTTAAAAAGATTTAAAAGCATTTATAACAATTAAAATATGCTGTGCCATGTTTTGTCTGCATTCAGCTTACAATTGAGCTCGCCCGCCACCCTCGAGGTCCCCTGTACCTCAACCCTCCCCCTGCAATGATTTCTGATCACCAGCTCTCTAGTTGGAGACCCGGTGTGCGCAAAAATGGCCAGGTATGCAGTAACAGAGCTTATAAAATGATTGATTGGCTTAGAGAATTAGCATCTGTAACCTCTTGATTTCTCTAGTTTCTTCCTCATACAAATGCTCTAGAGGATTTCCATGGATTTCTTGCTTAAAGGCAACACAATGTTGTACAGTAAAATTTCTTGGTAGTGTCACATTAAAATATGTAACCAGAATTATTTTCTTATTTCCGTCCTCTTGTTTTTCAGTCTGTGAAGAACTTTACCAAATGCAGTGTTCGAAGTGAGCAGGTTTGCAGCAAACTGGTGAACTGCAGGAGTTGCTCACTGAACATCAACTGTCAGTGGGAACCACAACAGCAGGAATGTCATGCTTTGCCTGGTGAGTTGAAGGATGGATGGTTGGATGAATAGATAAGACTGACAGAGAAATTACATGTCTATATAAACAGTGATTAAAGTACACATTTCTTCTGTGTAACTAATGTTGACAAGGTCATCATTTAGTAAGGTCAGTAAGATTTACAAAAAATAATAAATTAATACTTTTATTCAGCAAGGACACATTAAAACGATAGTGAAGACATGTACACTATTTCAATCAATTTTGTTCTTTTGCATTTTCTATTTATCAAAGAATCCTGGAAAAAAGTATCACTGTTTCAAAAAAAAAAGTAAAATTAAGCAGCACAACTGTTTTCAACTGTTAAAATTATGAAAATGTTTCTTGAGCAATAAATCAGCATATTACAATGATTTGCTAAGGATAAAGTGGCACTGAAGACTGGAATGATGACTGCTGAAAATTCAGCTTTATCATCACAGGAATAAGTTACATTTTAACTTTATTAAAACAAAGAACAGCTCTTTTAAATTGTAATAATATTTTAAAATATTACAGTTTAACTGTATTTTTGATGCAGCCTTGGTGAGTATGAGACTTCTTAAAAAAAACATTATAAAAATCTTACTGACCCCAAACATTTGAACTGTAGTGGAAGTGTCAAAAAAGTGACACAGCTATCTCTTTGATGGACCTAGGCTCTGAAAACAGCACAGGGAATGGTCCACATGTTTTAGATAACCAGAACACCAGCCAGTCACAAGTGCTCTCTACCTGTGATCATTTTGTGCAAAGTTAGAAAAATGTCTGAAATTGTTTTAAGCAATTTAAATTTTATGTGAGTTTGTGCACCTCAGATGCAAAAACAAAGGAAACAGGTTTCCACACTCTGAGGGCATCTCTACCTGATTTATTTGATCTGATCTAGTTTGAGAGCAGGAAGTGATGCAGTTGTTTGATGTATTATTAACATTCTTGTGTCTCCCTTGGGAAGAAATGTTTTCCACCTACACTTTGTACCTATTCTCTGTTTTTTTCCAGACTGCCTGTAAAGATGCATGCAAACACACACACTGGTTCATTTTTTGACACTTTCTTGACCAAGATTTGTTATTATGCATTTTATGCATATCACAGTATTACTTTTTTCAAACTCATAAAGTTTTTTGTTTGTTTTTAGGTTTAAATTAAAATTGGAATCCTATAAGATTTCAGTGTGAACTCAATGTATATGTACTGCATATTGTAATTTTTCTTAAAGTAAACACTTAGTGACTTGAATTGACAAAAATTAGTATTTAATTAGTGAGTAAATAACCATAATTCATATACATTCAGGGTTTAAGCTGGTCATTCTTCTGCAGTCTCTCTGTGTCTGATATCATGATCTTCTCAAGGACATGAGCCAGACAGACTCACTTCTCAGCTGTCATATTTCTGACTGATAGCTCAGCTTGGAAGCATAAATATGCACACAAATGAAAACTTTATTTGCAAAGGACACATCTCTGTAGTAAAGACATGTGTATATCCAAGCATGGAAAAAGTGTGACCTTTGCAGCTGGATAGTACATCACATATGAGTTCTGACCTGGACCAGAAGGCCAGTTGCAAGTGCAGTAATTATTCAAGTTTTCTGAGCTATTTATCCATTCATGGATGAGCAGCCTGTCAAGAAACCCAGGGTGTATTGTTCTTTTTCTTTGCTCTGTTATTTCTTTCTTTATCACATAACAGCCTTTATCTTAGAGTATAATCAACCACATTTTATAAAGTATACAGTTGAAATGCTATTTTTATGCTATTTTTAGTGCTGTGTGGTTTCATAATTGGCTATGACCATGTACTTTTCTTTTTGTTTTGCTTTTCAGGAATTTGAGGGGTGTTTGTGGTTAACCATTGTCACCGTTAATTATTCAGTGCTGCTCAATTTAATAAGTTCAAACCCCAGAGTGTAGCATGGTCCTGAATTTTAAGGTGTAGTTTGATTTACATTTACTGTTCAAAAGTTTGGGGTTGATAAGATTTCTTTATGTTTTTGAAAGAAGGCTGCATTTATTTGATCACAATACATTAATTTTGTGAAATATTATTACAATTTAAAATAACTGTAGATAACAATTCTTTGCAATCCTGTGATGGCAAAGCGGAATTGTCATCAGCCATTACTCCAGTCCTCAGTGTCACATGAGCCTTCAGAAATTATTATATGCAGATTTGTTGCTCAAGAAACATTTCTTATTATTATCAATGTTGAAAACAGCTCAATATCTTGTGGAAACCCTGATACCTTTTTACTGCAATGAATAGAAAGGTCAAAAGAACAGCATTTATTTAATTATGTTTGGCTGTATAATACATAGAAAGCTCCTTTTATCAATATCCTGATCAGAATGATTTGTTAGCATTGTTCAGAGGTCTTGTGTGAGTGAGGCCTAGTTTGGACAGTGAATCCTGGATTTCTCTGCTTTTTTACAGCACATTTGTGCGGAGAGGGTTGGAGTCAGGTTGGAGATGCATGTCTGAGGCTGAACGCAAGCAAAGAGAGTTATGATAATGCCCAGCACTACTGTAAGAATCTGGATGGCAACATCGCCTCTCTGACCTCCGCCAGGCAGGTGGACTTCATACTGGACGAGCTGCAGAAGTATCAGCTGCAGGAGAAGGTGAGTCAAGCTCAGTCACTGACGCTTGTGTGCTAGTTTACATTGATTTGTCTTGGTAATGGTTGGGTATTGATCTAGAACACAGTCAACACTTTCCTGTTTTTCAGAATGTTGCATACAGATTAGTTATGTCACCATGTCAGAAATTCAGTAGTCAGTACCTAGTTTTGCAACTAATAAGCTATTGAACACACTCCTTTGCTTATTACAGTTAAACATTAATGCATACAATTTGTAATATTAATATACAATTTCAGTCATAAACAAACAAACACACAAATAAATTATTGATTGATTGATTTAAAAGCAGTGACTGATTTGGTCATTTTCTTTGAATTTAGTCGTTATTTATTTCATGAATGAAAACATGGCCTTTTTTAGTCTTTTACATTTAGTCATTAAGTAGATGCTATTTTCCAAAACAACTTAAACATGAGGAACATCACAAGCAATTTATCATACAAGGATGAGCTACAGTAATAATTCCTGTTTACATTCACTTAATACTTTGCCAAGACACGAATTACAGCATGTAGAAAGATGTATATTGCTACTTTTTTTAAACATTGGCTTGGTATTGAAATACCAGTATTTTTAAAATTTGTAAAGGCCCTATCACACCAATTGCAGTGTGAAAAAAGTAAAGGAATAATGCTGACAGTGAGCTTTTTTTGACTGACACAAGCTCTTCTGTCTGGGCACCTGATTTGTTTACCTAAATTAGTTCTCGATTTTAAGTATATTTGCCTTGCTCTGCTCTGACTCACCATTTTAAAGTGATTATTTAAACACCCTCAAATATCCTGACAGATATTTCTGTCCAAGTAAACAAACATTAGCATTTACAATTTACTTGGTAAGTTTCTGTGTGTCAAGTCCAGATGTAGTGCCAGCTGTTTCGGGTGTAGGTTTGTTTCTAAATGTCAGTAAAGCTTAAACTTCAACTTTACACGTCAAAAAACCTTACTCATGCCTTCAGTAGAGAGCCATTCTGCACAAAATCTGTGGAGTCCCCTCGGTGCTGTGGTGTAAATATTTGTCATGTGTTAATTAAAAGGAAAGGAGTGACTCTCTGTGTAATCCGCTCCCTCGCTGATTGCGGCGTGAGCCTCAGTGTTTAAGCAGCTTTTGTCCTTTGAAGATTAACACAGTTTTCTAAAGGACCCACCTTTGATGTGAAAAAGATTCACATGCGCCGGTTTCTCAGTTGCCACTATTTTTTCTCTTTGCTGTCACTCACACAGACAGTCACACTCACTCCCTGTGGCTGCACAAACTCACAGGAGATCTTAAACCTTTTAAACCTTTTAATCAAAGCACGCAAGACCTTTTCATACAGGGAGGTTGTTAATTTGAATGGAAAATCTGAGAGGTTGGGGTATGTCAAATTCGGTTTGTTTTGCTTTGAATTGATAATTAAATTGTGCGTTGGCCTTTTGCCTTTCCTTAAAGAAGACAGACAGAAAGAAAAGTGTATTTATAACACCATAACACGTCTTATGCTCAGAAGACAGGCTTATTAGCCATCAAAACGTCAAGGTGCACTGAATGAATGTCCAGCTGGAAGTCTGTAATGTGGTAAATTCGAGTTCAAATTGAGTTCAAATAGCAGTTTATGAAGATGAACACTTCTTTTTTATTTCACTGAATTTATCGCATCTGCAAATTTGTCAGTCTGTTTGTCGTTTTAACTTCATATGTCTTTCTGTTCTTTACACTAATGTTCATAATCAGAGTATTTATGAACACAGGGCGATAGCAGCTTATTGAACCTGTGTTCAAAGCGATTTTAATGCATTTAAACAAGCTTTATGTTAGATATGTGGCACAGTCACATTTTAGCATCACATTTAAGTGGAAACAGGTGTATTTATTAATTCGTAATAACATATTCCTGCATTTGGTTGAACAACAGTTTTTCAAATAGTAATAGCTGTAAGAAATTTTAAAATCAATCCAGAAATAAAAAAAAGTGCTATTCATAGAAGAGGTCTATTTAAGTCATTGTATTGCATTTTTATGCATTCTATGTGGAATTTTACTATATGTTTCACTGTATTGTATTTTGCATGTATGTGTGTAAAGAAGACATGAACAAAGCCGTTTTCTCTCTTGCAGAAACTAACTCCCTGGGTGGGTCTAAGGAAGATAAATGTTTCATACTGGGGGTGGGAGGACATGTCTCCCTTTACTGCCAGCACGCTGCAGTGGTTACCAGGGGAGCCAAGTGACTCAGGCTTTTGTGCGTACCTTGAGGCTAATGTGACAGTCACGACTCATGCAGCTGTAAGGTTTTCTTTTTCTTTTGTTTTTACTCGCGATCTTTACAACACGCATTACATTACGTATTTCATGGCACACTCGTTTTATGCGTATTTGGCGCCACCTAGTGTTGTGGGTGTATTATTGACATGCCAAAGTCTAGACCCTGAATATAAGACGACCGCGTTTTTTCAGATGTATTTCCAAGAAAAAAATATCGTCTTATATTCGGGACAATACGGTAAATATATTTGGTCTTAATTTGATAATGCTTTTAGTTAGCAATTTGGGTGTTGTATTCTCAGCTCTGCTTACATAAACTGTGTTTAATACTGATTCCAGAGAGTTCTAGAGATTTTCCCTTGAATTTCATGCAGATCCAGTCTCAGCCTGCTCTTGGCTTTATATATGACACATATGTGAATGTGATTTGGTGTGTGCATCAGCCATAATGTTCTTTTCCATAAATGTTGTATTTAACAAATGACTAGGTTGTATACAATAATATCCAGTTAAGGGGCTATAGTTTCTTGCTTTTTTATAGACTTTTTATTGAAGTTTTGTGAGAACGCTCTCATATCTTCTGCTGCCTTGGCTGCAGTATGTCTGTTGGACCTGTTTGAAACACTCTGGAATAGAGCACAAATTAGGCCTTGAACGAGAGTTGGACACTCCCCCCTACAGACACGCAAAGAGCATAAAGAATGAATGTCAACTGGTCCTCCCCTCTTCTGTGTTTCTTCTGCTCGTTTTCATGTCTTATTTACGTTATTCTGCTCATTGTGCTCATTTCAGTTGTTTCTTTTACTCTACAGGAGGTAACAAACAGACAATAAGAATAGACATTGCCATTATCATGATTATAATAAACACTGTCATCTTTAAGCGTTGATAAAAATGCAGAATATATTATTATAGCTACAGAGTTTTACAATGGAGTGCAAAAGTCTGGGACCACACTGAAATGTAGGATTTAGAATATAATTTTAACCTTGAAATAAACAGTTTTAGGATTAACTTTGATCAAATTAAAATTTGAGAGAAATGTTATTATAAAAAATATTTAAGATTTTTTAAATCTTAGAAGTAAATTTCATGACATTGATCATCTGACTTGTATACATGTTCTTGCTTCCATTGAAGCACACGATGCTCTTTGGATCATTCTTGATCTTCAGGTTTTACACAAAGACTTTTGGGCCTCGCTGTTTTTCAGGTTTTTTTATATAGTTTGACAATATTTGCTCAGTATTTTAAATGATGTAATTCACAAGGTCATTGCAATACTCACTACTGCCTTTTCCTCCCTCAGTGAGCCCAAACCTTAGCGTGCATCCATGTAAGATTCCCTGCGCCCTGCGAACCAGCTGCGCCAACTGCACCAGCCAGGCCATGGAGTGCATGTGGTGTGGCAGTACCAAGCGCTGTGTGGATTCCAATGCGTACGTCATCTCCTTCCCCTACGGCCAGTGCCTGGAGTGGCAAACTGGAGACTGTGGCGGTGAGTGCACGCTCATACCATCAAGGACACTCACACATTAAGATACATGGCAGACTAGAAGCTGGAGTTAGGAGTACACACTATTCTGGTGAACACACACAGCTTCTAACTCGTTTACTTTCTGCCTTCTCATTTTTCCCTTCTGTTGTGAGCCTAAGGGAGATTGAGTTCTGAGAGAGCAGATGCTGTGAACACTCAGCCCTGCTGCACAGGCAGGTATCAAACTCACTATAAACTCCTGTCATACTCTTGACTGGCCTCCACCGGAAAATCTATAAATTATCGACGTCTGTCCGGCCTTGCACATGAGACAAAGACTCTGAACAAAGAGAGAAAAAAAGAAGTCTTTCTGATCTTAGTCTCAGACCTTTCATCTTATTCAGACTTTTGACTTGTGACCTGAAGTCTTGTCCTCATTGCAGGTTTTCTGACAAAGAACAACCCGCTTGGACAGCAAGAGATCTGGGGCCAGTCGCATAAACATGTTTTATAATTTATGTATTTTTTGTGTGTATTTATTAATGCATTATTCTAACCGGTTGCATAAACATCCACTATGTTAAGACTGTGTCTTAAGAACTAGTTTGACCAAATAGCAGTTAGCCAAGAGATAATCAGTCTCACTTTTCTGATAAAAATTTTACACAGTTATGACCAGACTAGAAGAAAACAAATTAGATGGCTAACTTTTTAAGACTAGTCTAAGCAGTTTATGCAACTGGCCACTGATTGTCATGTAAAGTGACTAAACGCTCTTTGTTTTGTGTTTAGTGCCATTTAGTGGTTGGGTTTTCTAAAATAAATTAAGTCATCACTAACAAAAAATTACCTAAAGGGATATTTCACCCATAAATGAAAAATGTCATCAGATACTCACCTTCTTGTCAAATTTCTTTTTTCTGTTAAACGCAAAAGAAGATATGTTGAAGAATGTTGGTAACAAAATAGTTAACATTTTAGTATAGGGACCAGTTCTCACTATTAAAGGCACAATATGTAAGATTTTCATAATACAATATCCAAAAACCATTTGCACAGTGTGATATATTTCATGTATTTGTGTACTTATGTTATCCCAAAAGTTCCCTAGGATTTGTAAATCCAGAGAAATTCCAATTTTAAATAATGTCTCGTCCCTGGTAATTGTCGCCTATCAATGACATAATATCTACACTACCCTTAGTTTCCGCTTGTAGAAACAATCGCAACACACGGACACAAATGCTGCTGTACAGGTAAACTAAATCCAATACGGCTGTCGGGAATAAAATTAAAATTAAATGAGAAGTGTTGACCGTAGCATTAAATCTAGATCTGGTCAATGTTGCGCCATGATTTTTCACGTGTTTTTACAGTGTTGCAAATAATAACCAATCACACACGAGTGTGTTGAGCTTATGAATGCAATGGCCAATCAGAGGCGTTCAGATGAGATTTTTGTTCACTGCATGCACCCGCTGACTGAATTCATCTCTCACATGAATTCTCTCATCATAAACAACAAAGTGCAGATGTACATATGATGTAAGTATGAGATTCATTCATTAAACCGTGTATAGACAGCTTTACTGATTATAAGGGGAGTTTTTTGAGAGTGCTTAAACTCGCGACTGAAGACTGAAGTCAGTCATAATATTCTTTGACAATGTAGGTGTTCTTTGCTCGCTTTCTCTGTATAGTTTTTTCTCTGTTTGAATAACTGTGGAAGTTACAGGTAATTAAAAAAAATAATAATTCATTACCTCATCCGTGAACATTCTCCTTCATTACTTCATCAAGCTTCGCCTTTGTTACTGTTTTGAAAATTCAACCTCTAGCGGCAAAAACGTACATATTGTGCCTTTAACTAGTTACTTATTAGCATGCCTATTATTAACATATTGGCTGTTTATTACTACTTACTAAGCAAATATTGTGAATGACAATATTCTACATCCCTATTCCTTCCCAATACAAAAACTACCTTACTAACTATTAATAAGCAGCAAATTAGGAGTTTATTGAGGCAAAGGTCATGGTTAATGGTTTGTCAAGAGCAAGAACTAGACCTTAAAACAAAGTGTGAACAAATAGTTTTAATGACCATTTACTTCCATTTTATGGGGAAAAAAGAGACATTTCTCGAAATATATTTTGCTGTGGATTTACACAATTTTTTTCTGTCGTAGCGCCACCTATGGGCAAAATTTGATGCAACTTGGAATGCAATTTAGCAAGCAGCTTGTCCGGTTGCCTGTGTTTGCCAAGTTTTGTAAAGTATGGACTTTGCATTCTGTAGATATAGGTCAGTTCATTAAAATGTGCAATGCCAGACAGATTAATTAACTTATCTTTGCAATGCTTTGATGTATCAAAGTGTCGAGATTTGGTTTGTGCAAAATTTGGTAAAGATTGGATGAATGGTTTTGAATGATTAGAAGGAGTTTAGAAGGTGTTTGTGAAGATTATGGGGAAAAAAAAGTATGAATAGAAAGGAAATGTAGGAAATGAAAAAGAATTTTAATTTTACAGTTCTAAAAATACAAACAGAAATTCAATTGCATTTATTAGTTTCACCTAATGTCAGCTGTGAACATGCGCTTACAGTAGTGGTGGGATTTGTCACTATGCCACAGAATTTGGTGTCTCTACAACTTTTCTGAGGTACAGACACATTTAGGACAGAAAAAGAGTTTAGCTCCTGTGGGGCTTGGACCCCTAATGCCGAGTTCACACTGCATGATTTTCAAAGTCGTCGGTTCACCGTTGTTTTCACACTGCACGACTATCTGGGGTAGCATTCAGTTGCTGCTGTGTTCACATTTCACGATGGATCGAAGACAGGAGGTTACACACTGCATGACTTTACAATAGGAAGAATCGCCGACAACTCTGTCTGGTCCGCAAACCACGTTTCACAACCAAAGGCACGCAAGAAGTGATAAAGAAATAACGCAAGATCACAATGATATTGTGGTCTCCTCCCCGATCAAACAGTAACAAAGATGACTTCCATTGTTAACAACATACTTATGCTAGGAACATTTTATATACATAAATATAAGTACTTGAAAGTGAAACCAATGTTTTGTGCATTTTATGAGTTTATTTCTTATACAAAAGCCCTCAAAGTGATGAAAAAGAAAAATGCAATAAATCTTTTGTCCTTTATAGAAGAATAAGAGAGAGAGATAGATTTCTTCATGCACCTGTTCTGTATATTCTAATGCAAAAATGTACTGATATCGCCACGTTGGCCAATTGCTTAGTAAAAAATGCAACAAAAAAAAAAAGTCCTCACCGAACTTCCCACTGCCCTGTATCTTGCTCTCTCATTGGCTGTAGGTCATCGCCAATATATTTTTCAGTCAGAACTCAGTTCTCACAGCAGGATTTTGAATCGGCGACAGGTCCAGATATTTGGCATGCCAAATATTTCACGGGCGTCGGCGACGCATCGGCAATTCTCTCAGATCGCGTCTTTGATAATTGACACTGCATGATTGTCACATGCGTGAACGAGGACCGATTTGCCTCCGATTTTGGGCATTTGTCGGCGATTTCGCAAAACCTAACAGCGAGTGAAAATTTTTTTCTTCTTTTTTTGGCAGTAAAATAATTGCACAGCAGTCTCTGTGAAAAGAAAATCTGAATACATTTTAAAAGATTTGCTGTCACTAATTTGGCAAATCTAGAGCATATACCATGTAACAATTATTTATATTATCAGTTCAGTTCCTTGAAAACCCAGCTTTGTTGCTGATATATATTTTTATATTAATATTTCTGAAGTTGTGTAAAGTCAACCAATTAAATTTGAACAGGGGATTTCAGCCTTGCCATTTTTATGTGCATCATGCGTCAGTGTGAAAACTGTGGGCGGTCCATGGGCACGGCATCTGAGTCTGAGGCCGAAGCTGTTTAGATCTCTGCTCAGTCACTTTATGATTCAACAGCTCCTTTAGTTCCTTCTAAGTAGATTTGCAGAAATATCCCTATACACAAGAGCGATATCATGTGGTCCAAAACAACACAGAATCATGCCAAAGTATCTGAAATGACTGATGGTAATCGTCTCAGAAAAGCCTTAGGAGTAGCTGACGCGGACCTACCTTGTATAGTCATCAGCAAGTTTGTAGACGCATAGAATCATTCTTTCCTTCTGCATTAAGAGGCACTGGAGCTGGCATCGTAATGCAGCGTAAATGAGCAGCTGCAACGGGGACGAGAATGAAAAATAGATATTCAGTCCAACTGAGAGGCATAATGCTTAATAACCAACATATTTCTTCAGAAAAAAATACTACTACAAAAACCTGACAGGCGAAATTGCCTGTCTGTAGTGTCTCAGGAAGCTGAAGGTTTTTCATGGCCTTGAGACCCTGAGACCACGACCTCCCCTTCCATTCGCCATTATAGTGTTACACAGATATTACTGTTCTTTCTCTGTGGATGTGCTGGTCATTGATTTTATCTGCACTGCAGAGACTAAAGGCCTCCAGTGCATTGTTAACTTGGATGTTGATGGTTGTATTTCATAGAGGCGATCTGTCAGACAATAAACATCATTAAGGTCAGCTCTCTGATGTAAGTGAATTGCTAGAGGATATCTTTTCCTCCTCCAAGGAGTCGGTTCATGGGCAAAGCAAATATTTTGCTGCGTGATTCTTTGGTTTGAAAGACCCCGTAGATGTAGCTGTTGTGATGGAGGATAATTTAATTAGAGAAAGTGCAGTTTTCATATTTAAACAAAGCTCCAGACAGAGATAAAGAAACAGTGTGACAGCATGATAATATGCACCTAATCAAAATGGAAATGAACTTCTTCACTGGCTCAATATGCTCAACAAATAGAGCCTTTTAAATTCAGAAGTTGAGATAATAGAAATACCGTATTGTACAATGCGCCAGCGTGTTGCACGTCGGCAGCGTCCATTGTGTTGTACTGTTATGGTACGAATGAGTTTGAAGTCTTTTTGTTTTTTGTTTTCAAAAACGTTTTAAAGTCTTTGTCATTATTCAGTCTTTAAAGACACAGACACATGTGTGAACGTTCTTCAGGCAAAAAGTAAAGCTGTATGGTGAGCATACTTTTGTCATAACTTTCCTTTCTGTTCAAAATTATCTTACAATTCTATATTTTTTTTGGAAGTCATTGTGGATAAGAGTTTCCACATCAGAAAAGTTTCACAAAAATATTTTAAAGGTCCCATATGGTCAAAACTTTCCTGGCTTTTTTCACGATTACTGAGGTCTAGGGGCTATTTAACGACCATATACGTTTCAAAACAGTAAAATGCACACAGCCTGCTTAAAGTTCTAGCTATTTTTCACAAACTTCCGACTTCCGTAAAAAGTTGACGTCAGAACTGCACAGTTAAATCGACCTGTTCTCAGCAGAGCTCCTGAGAGAGGAGCTGTAAAAATATATTGAGATGGTTTTTGGTACTTATACCGCAAATATATATTCTTAAGGACATCAAAACCTAAAATAAAACTCCGGAAAGGTGTACAATATGGGACCTTTAAATTATGTACACTATTGTTAAAATGTTTAGGGTCAGTCTCATATGCTCACCATGGAATTTATTTGAATAAAATACAGTAGAAGCACTAATATTGTGAAATATTGTTCACAAATTGTATATTTGTGTGGCCAATTCAAGATCACATACCCAAAGACTTGCGATCAGCAGTCTATGCAAAACCCATTATTTGACATATTAAAGGGGATGTTCCTTCTTTTGATATCTATGTAGTTATGTATGTGACTTCCTCTCTCAGAAAATCACAGACCAGCAATAACTCTCTATTAAAATCTTTTCTGCTTTATGCTTGTTAATCCTGACTGCAATCTATTTGACAGGTGTCCATGTCCCTGGTGGACATTTCCATGAGACAGATGTTGTCCTAACTGTAGACAGAGTTCCTCTTCAGGAACTCGAGCTGCGTCGGAGGACGCTTCGGGAACGCCCTTCAGCGTGACCGGCTCTGAACCTCGTGTGTAATCAGACCAATAGATGGGCGAGACGTCACGGG